TTAAAGAGGCTTATGGCATGGTATAAGGAGAAGAAGGATGCACTTGCCTGTCTGCACATTTTTAAAATCTGTTTTTGGATTTGAATCGGATTCTAATTTTGCTGATTTATTTTATCCAAAGAAGGACAGATAGCTTATAAAGACGGCATCGCGTTTGGTGAGCTTGTGGTGTTGTGGATTATACTTGCTGCAGGATAATGTGGACACAACCCCATGGGGAGGGTTTTACACAAAGCCCTGAGTAATTAATTGAATCTCATGTTTTTAGAGGTGCCTGATGGTCCTATTGCTAGATTCTTTAGCTTAAAAAAAATCATCCTCAGTGAAACTTCATTTTAGAAGCTTCCATCAAACATCAAAGAGATGCTTCAGTTTAATTTTCACACTGTAATCTGCAACTAGAAAAATAGCAGACTGTTAATAACAATATGTGAAAATGAGATTCTCCCAGAGGCTCAATATTGTGGTCTCTGCGTGAGCGCCCGGAGCACCCTCAACCGCACCTAAGTGCTGTGGTTTCTAAGAGGAAAAATGAATAGAGGAGAAGGGGGAGGGGGAGGGGAGAGAACACCCTAGATGCTAATGGAAAAGTGGAAGCTAAAAACCAAAACAAAGCAAAACAACATACAAAAAACAGAGCTTAACTGAAGGGACCCTTTTCTGAGCAGAGATGATTGTGCTCAGAATTCTGAAATTCTGTAAGCAGGTCTCAGTGGGTTGAGGTTAAGTGGAAAGAAATTTGGGGGGTGGGGAAGGAAACCTTGACGTTGCCTCAGTCCACGAAGAGATGCAGTTCAAGGGTGTTTTAGTGCTATGTCTTTAACTGGGGTTGGGTCTCAAACCGGACATGTATTGTCACTCCTTTTCCCAAAGCCAAGTCAGGTGCCTGGGGAGCGAATGCCCTGGCATCCTCTATTTAACCTGGGGTAACTGGACCACTTGGCTGCGAAGCTGGTCTTCCTAATTATCTCCTTCTCTGGGAGTTCATCTCTATGGAGAGAATATGAACTCCTGTCTGTTTACTACTGTAAACCTAATACCTGTATACAAACACATCTGGCACTTAGTAGTTTTCAACAAATACCTCTTGATTAAATAACTGTGTTTATGTACACGATCTAAGGAACATTGTAAAAAAAACTTGCCTCAGTGATCCAGGATTAATTTGATGAATTGGTGCTCTCCTGCCCTACAGGTGACTTCATAGTTAGCACCTTCAAATAGGTTCATAATTAAAATATATTTCTGATGAACTTATAAGACTTGAAAATATCACTCTTAAATTAATTATTGTAAGACATGTAGTGTAGTTGTTCCAGAAACAAAATCTACACCTGCTTATGACTTGGAGAAAGCTCAGATTGAACAATAGTTCTCTTTAAAACATGCAAACATGGCCAGGAATGGCTGTGCCCGCCTACGCTCGAAGCCGCTCTGGAGGCTGAGACAGGATCTCTTGAGCTCAGAAGTTTGTGGCCAGCTGTGAAACATAGCTAGAGCCTGTCTCAAAAAAACAAAAACAAAGCAAAGCAAAACAAAACAAGAACCTATCTAATTAAACTTCCTAAGTAATTTTGTTTTCATTGGATATAAACTGTGTCGAATCTGCTTGTTAACATGACCTTTACCCCAATACTTGAATAACAGAGGCAGTCTTTTTATGTGTGTGTGGTACCAGAGATTGAACCCAGGGGAGCTCCACCACTGAGCTACACCCCAGTCATTTTTATTTTGAGATGGGGTCTCCCTAAATTGTCCAGTCTGGCCTCTAAACTTGCGATTTTCCTGCCTCAGCCTCCCGAGTACCTGAGATTACAGGCATGTGCCATGAGCAACTAAAATTCTTAAGTTTTCTTTTTGTTAGCCTTCTTGAATGTATTTGATTTTCATGTGATGTCGACTTTTTCAATTCCAATAAGTTTTTGTTGTTGTTGTTGTTATCAACAAAACTTTTGGACACCGAAGAAACATCGTGGAACGCTTTTCAAAAGTAGCACAGGATAATTCATCTTAAACTCTTTGACGTTGACAGTTTAACTTCTTGTCTGCAGTTTCACTTTCCACAGTTGATGTCACTAGGAGTCAACAAAAATATTAACATTGGTCTTGACTCTTTCAAGGGACACTATGTTCATTTAATTATCATATCATCTTATTACAATGGTTCTATTTTATCGTTATTTCTGTTAATGTCTTACTGTGTCTGATTTGGAAATTAAACATAGTTCACCTTGTTTGGTACTCTCTGGCATCCACTTGGGGTCTTGAAACTCATCCCCCAAGGAGGAAGGTGAGGTGACTCTACTTCTTGGATAACTGAGAAACATGACATTTCAAATATGAAACTGGAATGAGGAAGAGGGAGAAGACTACCAGAGAGGGTGGCTGTGAACTGTCTCTTCCTTCTGAAAACCCTTCTTGCTTCTGTTTTTAGTCTAAAGAGGTAGCAGCCGAGAGTGGGGCCAGGCCAGGTTTGCCCTCTCACTTGGCCCCCTCCCTGTGGACATGTGAGGTTGCTTCCTCACGCTTTCTTTTGGGACAGTGAGGCTCCTCCTGCCTGGGAGCCCACACCTGTGACCTCCCCTGATGATGCTGGAGGTGAGACAGAGGAGGGAAAGTGCCCACCGGGTGGGCACAGAGCAACGGCAGCAGAATCACAGTGCCTCACAGTGCCGGCCCTTCGCAGCCTCCTGTTAGGAGGGCTTGACCCTCCTCCTACCTTGAAGCCCAGTCCCTTCTCCCATCCCTCCCATACTCAGGGATGCTTCTTCAGGAACTGAGACAGGTGGGCAGAATGGATTTCCACACTCATGCACTATTTCTCACCGTGTGTGCAGATTTGGATCAGAAAGACCCCCTGGGCCTGGTTTATGAAGCTGGATGAGGGCAGTGAGGCTTTCTCCAGGCTCTTCACAAAGAGTGAAGAGCCCACGGTCCGGCCTCTTCCCATCCCCCAAGTGACCCCTCCTAAAATAAGCACACACACACACAAACAGGCTCTTGCTCAGAAGGGTCCTGCCACCCACCTGTTGCCACGGTCCCGACAGGCTGATGAACTTTTACCAAACCTCTAAGACCCCAAAAAACACCCACTTCCTCTTTCCAGTTCCTGACTCCACCCAGTCATGGTGTGGTCTGCTGTTTTGAGTTCTGAGGGCTTTGTGAAACCTTTATCACAGCACCTATGACACTGCACTGGGTCGCGTCTCTCTCCCGTCAGACTCCTGAGCTCTGCACACCAGGATGAATAAACAAATAGAATGAACAAATAGAACAAATGAATAAACAAATAGAAAGACTATAACTTTCAAAGATATTACTGCTAAATAATTTTTGTGTGTGTGTGTGTGTGTGCACGCCTACCTATAGGCCTGGATTTCATTTAGTGTTAAAAAGATGAAAATGTGAGCTGAATCTGATGGTGTATGCCTATAATACCGCGACTCAGGAGGCTGAGGCAGGAGGGTCTACCTCAACAACTTAGCAAGGCCCTGTTTCAAAATAAATAAAAAGGGCTGAGAATATAGCTCAGTGGTAGGATGTTCCTGAGTTCAATTTCCCATACCACCATAAAGGAGAAAAGAAATTTATTAACGTGGAGTTACCTAAGTATAAAGAGATAAATGCTTCTGGGTTTATAAAATTTCTCTCCCGCCCAACCCTCTACTTCCTATTAATGATGTCACATAACCAATGATAAAGTTGAAGAATTATACAGACTATAATTTTACAGTTGGTATTTATTGCAGTTTACATTTGGCTTAATTTAAGAACATTACCTTTGTATCTAAGTTCAGGTATTGGATGCACTAGGCTAATTTGAAAAATCCTCTTTGCTGAGGTTTTATGGTTTAAATGATTGGGTTTCCTGATCTGTGGATGCTCTGAGTGCTCTAGGCAGGAGGGCGTAGGGTCGGCCCCTGTGGGAAGCTCCTAGCCACACTTGGTAGCGCTGTCTGTGAGCCCCAGGAGCATGGGCCCTTCATAGCCAGCAGCGGGTGCCGGTGCTGATGGAGGCTAAAGGAGGCCAGGGGTTCAGGTGAGGCCTGTGTCCCACTGGGATGGGTGGAGGTGAAGGAGTGGACAGGGCTGGAGTAGATCACCTACAGGACTGCGATGGCTGGGTAAAAAGGAGGGAAAATAGAAAGCAACAATGGTCATGGTGAGCTCTGCAGACGCTGAGGGTTCTGACAGCTCGTTGGGTGGGGCAGGGGAAGGCCGAATCACTCAGCTGGCCTGAGCATCATCTCCTTCATGGTGTATCCTAAGTGCTCTGTACGCCTTCGTGAGAGGCCAGTAGAGGCCCTTCCAGGGGTGGACAGCTATTTGCCTTTCTTCCTATCCCTGCATTTTCTGCTCGATCCTCCAAACCTTCAGACAGCTAAGCAGAACATCGTCCAAAGTAATTTTAAGACCTTGTCCCATCTCCTTCCTCCAAAAGTGTCACCTCCGGTAAAATAAAATACTGAACTATTTTCAGCCCCAGTGAGAAAGGTGTAAACCAGACCCTGTTTCATTCCTAGCAGGACAGCTACTTCCTCCCGGAAAACTTTGAGGGGCTGAGAAGAGGTGGCCTGGGGGGGGGAGGATGAGGGAGAGGAAAAGCCGTTCTCAGCCCCCTGCACTGGCTGGGTCTCAGGAACGCGCTTTGCCTACTCTGAAGGTTCCAGAGCCTCAGCCAACCTATACATACATGGCGTGCATGTGTGGCAAGTAGTAGTGCTCAAATACTTACTTGTGTAAATAAATATGTATTTCTTATAGCTCTCCTAAAACTTCACCCCTGGGGGAGGGGGGAGTGTCCTCAGATCTTGCTTTCTAAGTGGGAATCAATTGAGAACAGGACACTGGGATTCTGTTCTTCAGCGCCACGTCCTGACAACTGGTGCCACAGGCTTCTGCATGAGTCCTAGCATGTCACAGGTCACACGCTCAGAGCCGTTCCACCCCACAGGTTTTGCTGGAGTCTCCCTGGCTAATCTAACTCTCTTCTCTCGCAGGTGCGCACATCTTGACCGACTCAGCAGAAGGTGGATTTTCTTCGTGTTTAAAGAAAAAAAAAAATGTCCCCGTGTCTGTAGAGATGATTTGCAGTTCAGCCCGGCTGAAGCTGACCGAATGAGACTATGGGCTGTGCCTCTGCCAAGCATGTTGCCACTGTTCAAAATGAAGAGGAAGCCCAGAAAGGGAAGAGCTACCAGAACGGAGACGCGTTTGGCGGTGAGTGCTGTCACACGGCAACCCTGATGGCTGGTTCTAGGCCTTTCACTTTGGTGATGGTGAACAACGGTAGCCATGGGAGTCTTATGCCGTTGGGTTGAAGGGGTGACAAGACCCAAAATCAACACAGACCTTCTATTTCCTGACCACACATCATGATTAATAGGGGCTTTGCGGAGATCATGGAGGTCTTTTGCAGGAGTTAGCATTGAGATCGAGTTCTGAAGAACCAATAGGATTTAAACAGGAGCATAGGACAGCAGCCATCGAATGTCCTCGTGGGGAAGAACTGTAAGACTGAAAAGTCCAAAAAGGGAATGAGTGAGGATTTATAAACGAGGGAGGGAGGGGTGTTTCAGGGTTAATGGAGTGAATTACATGTTTTCATATCCTAAAATACACAGGCGATGAATTTGTAGTCATTTTTTAACTTCTCTATGATAATTCAAATTGCCCTCATGATATCTAGTGCAAAGGTCACAAACTGCCAAGTATACATCTGGCCACGAATATATTTTCTTTGCTTCCTCCTCCACCTTAAAAATCAGGATGTTTCTCATAAAACCCCAAATTAAGCTCTTGCAACCCTGTGTCTTCACTCCTTGAGGTGACATTCAGCGGGTGGGGTAGCAATTGTCCTTCCAGTCAGCCTGGGGCACCCAGTGAAGTGCTCACCCTTGCCTGCAGAAGCACACCAAGCCCAGGCTACTCATCAGTTACCTGCCTGCCCACTTACAGCCTCTTGAGTTTCCTGATCTTGAGTTTGCCCCTGGAATCATCAATTACTTCTCTGATGAAGTATGGATACGTGTACACAATTCCAGGCCCTAGAAGTCAGAGAAGCAGTTTTTGCTGAACGACTTTACCAATAATATCTACCACTTGACATTCACGTGGCCCTTTTACTTATAAAAACCCCTCTTCATCTCTTGCTGGATAAGGAACCTCATTGAGATAATGTTTGCATTGAGTTGCATCATTCGGTCACTGTCAGACAATTCCGTTGCTTGTACAGGCTGTAGCTTTTAGTCCATTGTAACCGTTCTGGTCCTCTATGAAGAATTGGAATGCTATTTAAGAGCTAATGCTTTATGTAAATGGAGTAGTCTGAATGAGAAGGTAGATTTTATTCTGTTGTTTTAAGGAGATGCATTTGCTGGCTGGGACACATTTGCCCCTCTTGGTGACTGCCTATAGAAAAAATAACGTATGTATGCGCATCTTAATAAAACTAGAATCCGGGTTGCTGAAACCGTGGTTTCTGGGAAAACAGCTAATTGGAACTGGAGTCATTACTGTCACTCTCAAATGCTTAACTTTTAAGAGAAAATAATCTAACATCAGGGATCTGTTAGATTTAGCTTCCATGTGAGGCCTCTGTGTCAATATCATTTTTGTGATAGCGCTCCTATGTCTGGGGCTGCCACCATATGTCAGACCCGGGAGGCATTTACATTCATTTTCATGTTGAATTTTCACAACAATCCTGTGAAATATGTGCCATCCGTTTTGCATATCTGGAGCTTGAAACACAGATATGCTAGCTGGTTGAAGGTTGCCTGTCTATTAAGTGACAGTCTCTCGCTCTCTCTCTCTCTCTCTCAGATTTGTCCACCTGTCTTTTCTTTTTCTTTTTCTTTCTTTTTTGTATCAGGGATTGAATCCAAGGGCACTTAACAACTAAGCCACATCCCCAGCCCTTTTTGTTTTTTTTATCTTGAGAAACAGGGTCTTGCCAAGTTACCCAGGACCTCACTAAGTTGCTGAGGCTGGCTCCCTTGTCACTGGGGTTACAGGTGTGCACTAGCACACTCAGCCACCTTTATTGATGTTGTTTCCCGATGCCCAGTCATCTCCTGTTGGTCACTCATTCTTTAATGCTGTGTACTAGGTGTAATGCTACATGCCATCGAGATTACAGAGGTAAATAATCCTGAACCGTGCTATGTGGGACTTCATGAGAAGATAAGGACGTGTTGTGAGGCAGAACACACCATGTACCAGAAGAGGGAAAGATAAGGATGGGGGACAGAGTACTGGCAGCCCTGCTGAGACGGCAGCATCGGAGTAGCTTTCTTGGTGGCAACATCTGAACCTGGCCTTCAAGGGCTGAGGGAATCTAACCCTGCTGGATGAAGGGCACAGGAGGAACCTAGATGAGGAAAGGCTAGAAGTCATGTGAGGTGTATTCAAGAATTATAATAATCCAGTTTGCACGGAATGTAAAGAATAAGTGGGAGAGAACTGAGGGTTAAATAGAGAACTTCAAATGCGGGCTGGGGTTATGGCTCAGGGCTAGCACACTTGCCTAGCATGCGTGAGGCACTGGGTTTGATTCTCAGCACCATATATAAATAAAAAATACAAAAAGTCCATCAACAACTAAAAAATACTTTAAAAAAAGAGAGAACTTTAAATGCCAAATTGTAATTTTGAGAAGGATAACTTAGACTCTAAGAACAAGATTTGGTGATAATAGAGATATTGTGCTTACAGTCTGCTTAGTGATGAGAACACCTAACCACCTATTTCCTAATTTAGTCACAATCACATAGCCAGGAAGACTCTGTTGTTCTAGTGAACCGTAAGCATCTTGCAGATGTTAGCATCTGATAAAGGATGCTGTATTAGTCAACTTGGCTGAGTATTAGACTACCATAAGATCTCAGTGACATTAGACAGTAAGCATTTCTTTCTTGGTCGTATTATGAGTTGGTGGGCTAGCTGGGGTGGCACTGACCCACTTCCCTCTTATTTTCCTAGTTCTAGGAGCAGTGAACTGAGGGCATTCCTTCCCTTAAAGAAAGGCAGGAGTGCAAGCCACACACGTGAAGCTTTGTAAATGTGGCTTAGAGCCAGCTTGCTGTCACTCACATCCATATTTTGCCAGCCAAAGCAGGTCACACAAACAAGCCCAAGGTCAAGAGGCAGAAAAGTATACTCTGACCACGGCACATTCATGGCACAGGGTGTGGACATAGGGAGGAGAGTAAGAACTGGGGCTAAACCATCTCCTCCAAACCTGCCTTGTCATTGCTGTCTCTGTGGCTCCATATAGTCTGTACCCATAGGTGCACTTTGGTCCTCTGCTTAATATTCTTCATCTCCACAATACTTACTTAGCATCATTATCTTATTAGTCTAACATAAATATATGCAAGTTTGTAATATGGTGTTAAATAAAGGTGAACAGAGCTTCACCAGTCAAGAAAGACTTTTTTTTTCTAGCTTTACCAGGGTTCTGAGGGTAGAATTGATGGAATACAATGTCAAGATTAAGTGCCAGGACTCTAGATGTTACTGTCTGCTTGAGTTTAAATATGACAAGAGAAGGTCCTGCCTGTGTTACTTTACTTAAATTAGTTTGCAAGGAGACATTTGCAGAATCCCAAGATGATTCCAGATGGTAGCAGATGAATGATACGTCTGGCTCGTCTTCATGGTTACCCATTGCTCTGGTGATCTTTGATAGAATAATAAATGACCGGAAGGTTTGAAACAGTCCTGGCGTCTTATTTCTCATGATTCTGTGCGATGGCTGGGGTTCATCTGCTCTTCTCTCCTGGGCTCCGTCATGCAGCTGCATTTAGCTGGGATCTCAGCTGGACTCAGCTGTCCACCATAGCTTCCGGCCTCTGTCTGCAAGACCTCTCTTCCCAGCTGGGTAGACAAACTTTTCACATGGCCACTGTCATCTAAGAAGAAGCGGAGACTATCAGGCTACTTAAGACCTGAGCTGGAAAGTCCAAAAATGTCATTTTTGCTGCATTCTATCGGTCAAAGCAAGTCATGAGACCAGCCGAGGGAGCACAGAGGCACTCCATCCCCGAGGAGGGAAGGAGTTTGGGGAGCCATCTTTACATAGGGTTCCGTACCCTTGGGGAAAGGTAATTACAGCCCTGTGACTGGGTTTTATTCCAACCAGGGCATATTTTTCACTGATTAGAATGGTCTCATTCACTTTTAAAAATGTTTTGAAAATGTTATTACAACCTGTTGTCGAAGATTTGACAGGATCTGTGAAGGGTGGCTTATTGGAGATGGCAATCAAGTGTCTCTGAGAGTTAGTATCAGCCCGGAGTAGATTCTTTTCCTAAAGGTGTTAATTCATAGTTTCCAAAGACACAAACTGGAGACCTTTGAGGCTCAGTGTCTTTATACAAATAGTAATTTCTGTTTTTGTGAAGCAGTTTGGTCTCCATGATGTTTGGGTTATTTAGGAGACAAACCACTCCAAATGTGTGTGACAGAATTATGTAGAAAATTCCGCCATTGAGGATTAAGTGACAAATGGGCATCTTTTTTTTTTTTTTTGGTAGTACTGGGGATTGAACCCAGGGCACTCTACTACTGAGCTATGCCCCCAGATCTTTTTATTTTTAATTTTGAGACAGGCTCTGGCTAAGTTGCCCAGGCTGGCCTCGAACTTGCTATCTTCCTGTCTGGGATTACAGGTGTGCATAACCTCACCTGGCAGAAATCATGGTGTATCTGAATTTTGATCCTGACTCCTAGATTTCAAAGAATTTAGGAGTTCTTTGATGAGGAATTTTATCACTGATATTAACCTACACATTTTCTTACATTTTCAATGTTCAAGCATAAAGGATTTCAGGTTTCAACTTCTGCTTTAACGTACCGTGACCCTTTCAAAAGTCAGATCCTGGCTAAAAGGCTCATCTCCATATTGGAATTTTCCTCCCCTTAGTGGTCAGGGCAGATGTGAACAGTGGTCAGCAGATCTGGATAGGTCATTCAGAGGACAGCTGAGCAGGTTGCCAAGACCAGCTTGCAAAAAAATAAATGACCAACAGTTGAACAAGTTATCATGAACTAGTTAAGCAAGTTCTAAGGGAGCCAAATTGTATTGGGTTTCTTTCGACAGTCATTCACTGAGCCGACTAAAGTAGGGGTGGATTCAGGCCTTAGTGGGGAAATTAACATGTCAAAACCTGAGATCCTGAGCTCTCAGGGTATCTGCAAGAGAAAGAAACTCACAC